TTCTTAACAACCTTGAAAAATTAGAGTGGGCCATTCATAAGTTTTGAGAAAATGCACATATGCAAACGTATTTTAGCACGCGCAGTTTAGGGGGAAGAACGAATTTCGTCCACCACCCCTCCTGTTTTTCGCCAATATCTCATAAGATTAATGCGAAATTAATTATGGCTACCTGTCAGAATTGAATTGGACATCTCATCGTGCAAGCAATAAGAAATCGGTCACAACTGTTCTGGTAATGGCGGTGTAAAGTGAACATCCTGTCGCCGCAGCAACGCGGCGACTCGGCAGCCGGCGCCGACCGCTACGCGCCGCCTGAATTGTAGACTGTGCCGGGACGGAACGGAACAGTTCCGTCTTTACATCGCGCTCCCTACCGCTGATTACGTTTGATTCGCGTCAAATTTTGTGAGAAGACTAAGAAATGTACAGGCAATCTTATGGTGAAAGAATTTTGAAAATCAATTGGTAAACAATTGAAATATGAACGTGTAAACACAAAATTGTGATTGCTGCGTTTCCCGCATCGGCCGAGCCCGCCTCAGCCGGCGACATGTTACTCTTAGCAGGCCTCTAACTGCCATATTTATTATTGGATTAACTAGAAACTCCCCATACATACTAAAAAATGTATGTTATTTCGTATAGTGAAGATAAAAAAGACGTGAAGATATCGTTGCATGATAATGTTTTCGTTGAATTTACTTCATGATGCATTTCCACACGGCTCAAAATTCACCGCAAGATACCGTTTGCCTGAGACACTTTTACTATGGAACGTGAATGCTTGACTACGATGACTATGCATTTCCATTCTCGCAGAGTTTGGGATATCACTAATCAGCAATCATTCATTTCAGAAAGTGTACACAAGCAAGCATGTCTAGACTCTGTCTTTCAAGGTCACGCGCGGTTGCGTGATGCTGATGCATGAAAACGGCGTTTGCCGCGAAAGTTATGAATGGCCCACTCCAATTTTTTCACAGATGGTTAGGAACATTGTGACGGACATAATATGTAAAAATTACCCAAATCGAAGGTGACGTGTTTTTTGCTATTTAAATTTTTCTGTTTTAATTCAAGGTCAAATGCATTTCAAGGTCACTTCAATTTAATTTGATAATTAAAAATCAAAGCCTTATCAATTGCCTATAAGACCCTGTTAATATCATTTTGATACCAGAAAAGGAACCAGAGTTATAGCCATTTAAAAAATTGACGTGTGGCATTTTTCGCTATATTCGATGACCTATATCTCAGCGATACGTTATCAAATTTCGAAAATATTGTACGTAACTCAGTTTTGAACCATGCCCAGTCTGCCTACAAATTTTCAGAAAAATTGAAGGGGATGACGGATTTCGGTGTTTGATTTGACGTGGAATGCCCCAGGAAAGCTAGAGGCATCGCAGAAGTATGAGGAAAATCTGCCCCCTCTCCCATCCTTGATAGCTTGGGAGTTCTTTGCGACCAAACGTCCACAGTCTCACTGATAATTGTTTAAATTAGAGGCAGCACTGGCTGCGGCTGGCGGTTGCGCGCCCGCCAAACCTGTCACTGAACAGTTGACCTTTACTGAGTAATTTCCGCGATCACATGGGTCAGCCATGACTCGCGTGCTCTGCCCTGTGTGTGGGCGGGAGATGGACCCATCAGCTCGACAGAAGACTGACAGACAGGAATATCCGCCCCGGCGGGCGCCTATAAAACGGTCCGATCGGCCCGAGTCGACGAGCCCTGCCGGCGCCGTGCGGTCCCCTCCGTCGCCCCGGTCCCTCTAGTCCCTCCGGTCCCGTGGTCCTCCTCGACCGCCATGCTCCGTCCCGTGCTGCTGCTGGCCCTGGCGGCTGCGGCGGCGGCCGTCGGCACCTACCCGGGCTTCACGCTGAAGCCGGTGTTCTCAGAGATCGGCCTGCCGTCTCTGTACAAACCCCAGTACTCCCTCGGCGGTTTGTACGGATATCTGCAGCAGGCTGATATCCCTAAGACCCAGTTTGTGTCTCGCGTCCGCAAGTACGGCCCCTATATCAGCCGTACCGTTCTGCCGCTTACGGTGAGTTTCAGATCCCCAGGTCACGGCGAGGCTTAGATCGGCCAATTCACGGGCACGGCCAGTCTTGGTGCCCCAAAGTCACAGTGACTCTCAGATCTCTAATTCAGTAGAGGTTAAGTGACAAACCGATACAGACTCTGAACTAGAATAAGCATTCATATTTGGGAGGGAAGAAAAACAGGTAGAGAAAACAGAGTCTACTAGTCATCCAATGTATCACTACAGAATGATGCAACATATCCAGAATATCTGAGCCAACCCCATTGTCTCATCAAACGTCCCGTTTGGTGTGTGTTGACACCCATTTGAGCTTCTCTCCCAAAAGACACTGCCGAGTCACACAATCACCCTCACCAGGTGCCTCTATCTGCGCAGTGTTGGCTCTGCACGACAGGGCAGTTTGTGGGCAGGCTAACGGGGTAAGCCAAGCTACAAGCTGCACCCCATCTTGCGACCATGGGATGCCACGGCAGACGCGGCCCCACAGGTCGACCAGGGACCCAGTCTGTGTCACCCGAACCCGCGGTATTCACCGGTATTCCCTTCGAAATTCTTATTTCTGTCATTTACTTATGTTGCGAGCATCAAATAAAAATCAGTTCGTGTCTCATTGGCACGCTATCACCATGATTATTGATCAAGACCCCTTCAAAACAACAGTAAAATTAATGTATGGAACGAAACAGAGCTGTAGTGTCAAGCATAGCCACCTACTGGGAAGCGTAAAGACACTTCGCGAAATTGCCTTCATTAAAGTACATAGTGCGAAGGAATGTGCTTCATATCTCATTCTCGTCCGTATAAATTCATGCAATGTTTCATCTTGACTAAGTGCTGCATGGGTGTCAAGTGGTAAATACTTGAAGTCTTCGATTGTTAAAATGTCACCCGGAAAATGGTTGACGGCTCACGCCACATCTTTTTCTAATGATCTTTCACGGTGTGGGGCTCTTTCTTTCCCTCGGCACAGCACCCTTGGACGGCAATTATTCATGAGAATTTTAATCAATCGCCTTTGAAAATTATTGCAAATACGCATTGAACTTTGAGCTATAGCCTATAAGTGAAAAACAGTCATCAGCTCTGCGGTGCTAGGCAGATATACGCACACGCAAAATAACGGCTAAGCATGAAGCATTTACCCAAAGGCCAACCAAATTTTTCTCACCTGCGCGCTTTTTGTTTCGTTCCTTACAACGAAACTTCTCTGTTTGACAATTGTTTGTCACAGAACGGTCTCCACCTTTTGGCTGGATGATGGCTGTAATACTCGACCAGTTTGTGCTCGAGCGAAGCGCTTTTGCATCGTGTCTCGAATAATGATGTCAGTTACAGAAAATCGTGATACCGATACCAAACCAAATGCCCACAATAGGTACCTATGGAAAAAATAGCGAAACCGAACCAACTTGGGAATATGAGGGAAATACCAACGTTTTACCAATTTTCGGACCCTTGTTCATTAGTGAGGGTTTATAATATCAACAAAATACCAAATGCATTCGCCTTGAAATACCAAAAAGTAAAAACCAAGTTGGTATCGGTTTGGTATCGGTATACCAAAGAGTTGGTATCCGATTGACATCGCCAGTCTCGAACGTGTCCGCTGACATTTCTGCGCTGTCTCTTACAATCGCTTATCCTGGTCAGACATCCAGCTGACACTTCCTCCGTCGACATGTTGCAGAAGCAATACAAGGGCGTGCTGGCGGACCTTCTGCAGCTGGCGGTGGTCCGCTACTACGGCTGTGAGCCCGTCATCAACAAAAAGGTCCCGCTGTCCACCTACTTCGGACGCTACGTCAAGAAGACCAAGGTCTGTGGGCTTGTGGTGTATCCCCGATCAGCGCTTGGGGCTGAGTAGTTTCCTGGTTCGCCGAAGAGCAGGGTTCTTTATTTGCAGTGATCTCTAATCCATCACGCACGCAGTGCTGCAAATTGCTGGGACTCAGTTTGTGAGATAAGAGGAAAAATCAGATAACGATGAGATAGCGACGGGGAACAAGTTCTCCCATTCTTTCTACCAATCATAACTTCAATTCATGGCCTTACCACTGTTCTGCACCAATATCACATTAGCTCTCTGTTGCATCTTCGACGAGCAAATCTCTTGACATCACTTCATATTATTCGCACAGATTCCATCGCCGTACCGCTACAACACCAAGTACGTCCGGACTTTCCTTGATGGCTTTAAGGTCTACCTGCGCCGGCATCTGCAGCGGCCGCAGAAGATCTCGATCCCCAGCCTTCCTCCCAAAGACATCTTCCCCATCTTCCCCGTTCGGCCTCCCAAGCCCTCCTACCCCGGGTACGAGATCCTGGCCACGCTGAAGAGCCTTGGACTGCCGCCCCTGGTCAACCCTAGGGCCTCTCTGGGTGGCATCGTCGCCTACTTGAAGGTGGTTGGAGTCAGCAAGACTACCTTCATCAGCCGTATCCAGGTCTACCGCCAGGCCATCATTAAGGTCGTGCTGAAGTACAAGGTAAATGTCTGCTTGATGTGAGACTTGAATATGATGAAGGCCACACATCGCGCTATAGCTTACATGACTGAACAGACTGAATAACTCGTGTGTAGTGAGATTCAAAGTGCCTCTTGTTTAGTTATTTTGACAGTCAGTATCTAGAGAGAAAACGCCTAGTCTTGCACGGGCGTACTCAAACTCTCGTTCTGACGTTTGAGCTTCTTGTTTCAGAAAATCTACACGGGCTACAGGCTGGACCTTCTCCAAGTGGCCGCTCTCCGCTACTATGGCCTCAAAAAGAACACCAAGTACGAAGTTAGCTTCGGCTACGCTCTGCGCAAGATCCTCAAGGTAAGTTCCTATGTTTCGGCGCTTTAGTATTCTAAACCAATCTGAAGCAAAGCAAGGAGGCTGCTTCTGTATATTGAAAACTGCAATGCGACATAGTCATCTCTTTTCTTTTGTAAAGAGTCTCATTCGCCATTTCAACATTCATGGGAAACCCTTACCTAAAACCCTGAAATCAGATGTGAGACTTAACCTACCTAAGGTGCGTTTCTCTTTGATGCGCCATAAGTTTTACACCACAACATGCGGCGTCTGACTCCCCCATTTCTTCCAACAGCCTTCCATCAGGATCAAGTACAGCGTGACCTACGTGAGGCAGTTCCTAATCCGCTTCAGCCGCGTCCTGGTCGCAGTCCCGTACCCCGGCTACAGTCTGCTCCCGGTCCTGCGCGGGATCGGTCTGCCCAAGCTGTACCGACCCAAGTACGCCGTGGGAGGTATTGTGGCCTACCTGAAGATCAAGAAAATCAGCCAGGTTACATTCATCGCGAGGATTAAGAAGTACAGACTGAAGATCAAGAAGATTGTTCTGAAATACAAAGTAAGTGTAAAGAAACGATAATTTTGCAACGCTTAAAACTGGCATTGGAAACAAATGTACAAATATACAATATCATTTAATGCATGCAGTATTTGTATCATTTGTATAATGTCGATTATGTGCCTGCATGGCAAGTTATGTACGTAGGATCTTCTATTTAGAAAGTTGAAGGATTAGAGCTTCGTTTTTTTTTCTAATAAACATGCATGAGTATGACCGTTTATACCGGCTGTTAGCCTTTTGAGCTTGGCTGACCTTTGCGATAACAGCGTGCAATTCTTCCATCGCAGAGGCAGTACAAGGGCTACCAGCTGGACCTCGTGCAGATTGCCGCCCTTCGCTACTACTGCATCTCCAAGAAGTCGAAGTACTCAGTCAGCTTCGGATACGCTCTCAAGAAGACTATCAAGGTATCAGGATGAATAATACATGCAGTCCATTATCGCGGGCGTGAAACTTTGTATATTCATTTAGCAAATGTCAGCAGGACACAAAGGAATATTGAATTTTACAGTTTCATTTCCCTAATGGGATTGATACGATAAAGACTTAGACGCGTCAAATTCCACATACCGTCAGCAATTGTTCCTGGGGAAAGCATTTCACTGTCTCATATTTATATGTTCCTAACAAAACGAAAATGCAGCATGGAATCGAATGACAAAATTCCAGGAAGTTCACTAAATGAACAGTCGCAAAGCGTTCGCGAGACAAAATCTAATTTGTAAATGGTTGATACGTTTCAATAGTTCAAGGCCGTTAGTTCACGACGGAATGCTGGCATTTTAATCGGTGGGACGTTACGTAAGATAGCTATGGCATTGACATTTATCTTCAACTGGCAAATTCGTGGCAAATTTAGTTTATATAGCCTACGATTACCACTGATGGAGATATCTATGTATCGGCAGCTTTCAATCAGGCAGAAGTACAGCATCAAGTACGCGCGAATCTTCCTGGAGCGGTTTAGCAAGGTCCTGGTCACGCTGCCGTACCCTGGCTACAACCTGATCCGCGTCTTCAGAGGCATTGGACTGCCGAAGCTGTACAGGCCCAAGTACAGCGTTGGAGGACTTGTTGCCTACTTGAAGGTGGTCAAAATCAAGCAGGTGACCTTCATCAGTCAGATCAACAAGTACAGCACTTCTATTCGGCAGCTGGTTCTGAAGTACAAGGTAAGTTTTACTTTTCATATCCTATTAATACTTCGTACAGCAGCCGAAAAAAAAATATATAGCTAAGAAGTAAGATAACGCGATGTTTTTCTTTCTTTAGCGTGAAAGTGTATGTAAGTGCGATTTCTTAGACGTTTACTCTGATTGGGCCTAATTACTTTCGCTGCTAAAAATTGTGCATGCCTTCGGCCAACGTGTTTGAGTTTCGTGAAACCGCACGCCAGTGATTCGTGCCTAGCGCGCTCCGTATAGAGCTCCGTAGAGCTCCGTATAAGGGCCCCGTAGAGCCCTTGTGACGTGTGGCAAACACATCTGTCGTTGCAGAAGCAGTACTCTGGATTCCGCGTCGACCTGCTGCAGCTGGCCGCCCTGCGGTACTACGGAATTAAGCAGGACTACTCCGTGAAATTCATCGTCGCCTTCAGGAAGGCTCTGGTAGGTGGACGCTGCTCGTCATTAAGATAAAAAAGATCTTATGGTGCTAAGACTGAGATGAAATTTTTTCGTTGAGGGTTATATGACAGATGGCTCAACTATGATACCTGTAAAGGTCAGCCAATGAGATGGATATAGAGATATCAACAACATCTAATGCCCCAGCTGCCTGGTTTTAGCTGATGTCCACCGAAAACACACCGTTTCTCTTTTTTCGCAGGTTCCTTCGTTCAAGATCAGCACACGCAGCATCAAGGCCTTCCTCGTTCGCTTCAGCAAGTACCTGCTGAAGCCGGCTTACATCAGCCCCGCCTACAAGCCTCGTCCGGCCACCTACCCGGGCTACCAGCTGAAGCCCCTGCTAACCACCGTGGGCCTGCCGAAGCTGACCAAGCCACAGTACTCTCTGCCTGGCCTGGTGGGATACCTGCAGAGTAACAAGTACCCGCTGCCATCTCTTGTAGGACGCATCCAGAAATACGGGCCCAAGATCAGGTCGACCGTCTATCGCTACAGGGTGGGTTGTGGGCCCACTGGCGAGCGTTACGCCAGTTTTACCGAAATTCACACTTCAATATTTCTTCCGACTGAAAAGCTGCAACGTTGCTTTTGAAAATTTTGCATTGTACATGTCTCATTTTTCAAAGAAGCATACCCATTAGTGATGGGAAGGGTATACATTAGCTGTTTTCACGACGACTTATGTATTTGGGTAACATATGGTGCAGATCTTGTCAAATTAGGTTCATTGTTTTTCTTTTTCTTTTGAAAGGTATCAGTTTTGCTTGCACACTTCCTTATAGCTTTGCTGTTTCAAAATATCATATATTAGTTATTATACAAGATTAAATACTGAAATAAATTAATGATATGAAGATATTTGTTGTAGAAGATATTTGGTACAGATTTGGTCAAATTTGGTGCATTTGCCAACTAACCCGTCCCGAAAACGACGTGTAGAGCTGTGTAGCTCCAAGACCGCCTCACCACTAAGCGTTTTCGTTCCAGCCGAACTACTCGGGAGTCCTCACGGACCTTCTGCAGCTGTGTGCCATCCGCTACTACTCGCTGCCCCCGGTCATCAGGAGCAACGTGGGCTTCGGCAGCACCTTCCAGCGCTACATCCGCTCGCAGGTCAGTGCACTCTGCAAGAACGTAGGGATAACGCTGGTCTAAAATCGCACATTAACGCTTACATGCGGACATTTGTAAGTTCCGGCACTGATACGTTGCGTCACGTTCGGGTGTTCTGGCACTGATAAGAATCATTTGGACGCTTACAAACATTTTTATCTATCTTAACTATTTCAGTTTTAAATAGTTAGGAGCTCTACCTTATCACCATGACGCGTGGCCAAACTGTCTGTGTGATAATTTTGATTGTCGACAGCATTTACAAATTACACCTCGGGCGAAGGCCAACGACTTTCGCTCCTCACCCTCGGGCTAGAGTGACACATGTTTTTTTACTATTGCTTGCTACCCCATACAAAATTGATAATTCGTACATTTTGATGTGTCCCTTACAGGATCATCACCACTGAGTTTCATTGTTTAAGCAGGTTTGACGACATTTGCTGCATTGAAATAAGAATTTAAAGTACTTCTCTGTCTCTCTGTCTTTCTGTCTGTCTGTCTGTTTGTCTGTCTGTCTGTCTGTCTGTCTGTCTCTCTCTCTCTCTCTCTCTCTCTCTCTCTCTCTCTCTCTCTCTCTCTCTCTCTCTCTCTCTCTCTCTCTCTCTCTCTCTCTCTCTCTCTCTCTCTCTCTCTCTCTCTCCTCTCTCTCTCTCTCCCCTCTCTCTCTCTCTCTCACTCTCTCTCTCTCGTGTATGTGAGCACATGACTGTGTGCAAATGCTCCAGCACAGGTGTTTTTGTTTTTGGTTGTGTTTTGACAGTGGCCTCTTTTTTCCCTTCCACAGAAACTTTCGAGGCAATACAGTCCGGCGTTTGTCAAGAAGTTCTTGAGCGGATTTATCAAATACATCCGCAAAAACAAGTTCCAAAAGTATTCTGGTAAATGGTGGTAATGGATTTGTGGTACAAAATATTTCCAAGAAATATTATTGCACTTATGAATGATCTTCATTTTCTTCTCTGTCCCTCCAAGACGTCTATCATCGCATCATGACTTCATTATTTTTTTCGGACCAAGTATTGCACAGTGCTGCATACGATGTTTTTGGTATCTATCAATATAACTTTTGTTCAGAACATAGCTATCAGTGTTTGCAATTTAATCGGTGCAAACGTTTTGAGCACTGAGTCGTCCACGCTATGCTTATTGTTTTTATCTAATTAGCTCAATGATGGACAGGACGATGTTACCAGGTTGAAAAGATTTAGTGGCATTTAAGTAGAATAAATCCAGCATGATGAATCCAAATAAAACTATATATAAAAAAACACACACACGTGGGCAAGTGGTAACTGGTAATCCTATGCAGCTCTCCTGTTAATTAGGAATTAGGATCTCCCCGCCGTCCGAATAATAAAGCCACGTAGAATCGACATGGACGAATTCTCTTATTCCTCTGACAATACGATATATAACGAACCTACCTGTCGATATATATATTTATCTGTACCACTTCTTGTCTTATTCTATTTCGCCGTTAGCAAGGTCCATGAATGCGCATTGTGCACTAACCACTTCTACGCACTATGATATTATGTATCGTATTTAGAAAACACAAAAGGCATAGGCAATAGGCATAGCTGGTCTGAGAAAACCAAGAGGTCCAGCTGGGGTGTTTTAGTAGCCGACATGTATTGTGCAAGTTGCAACACAACAGTGCGAGTAACGGGTAAAATATCGAAGGCAATCGGTAGGCTTTCAAACAGCTCACACAAGGCAAGGCCCTATATACCACACAAGGGTTGGCGTCTGCCCGACTCAGTTGCATGTCGGAACAGCTCAATGTCATTTCAGATCAATGACGCTATGGCCATTGTCTTGTCCAAGCGACATTAGCCCTTTTCACGACGGCCATCTGATACACATCTGGTGCACGTTTCGTGCAGATTAGGTGCACATTTGGTCAAATCAGGTTCAGTGTGTCTCTTATTAGCTATCAGCTGGGGTGGCACTAATTGCTTACATGCCTGCTTTGTCATATTATCAGAGAGCATCATTGATGAAAACATTGAAATAAATTCATAAAATACAGATAATTGCTGTAAAAGAGATTAGGTGTAGATTTGGTCAAATTAGGTGCACTCGCCGGATAGCCCGTCGTGAAAACGGCCATTACGTGTCAAACTAAGAACAACTGCGGCGACGTAGATTACTTAAATGCCGCTTACCAATGACTTCACTTCGCACTACATGGGAAGCTGTCCTAACTTACGCTATGTGCTAGCGTTATGTGTTTGAGCTGAAAACTTAAATTTTTCACCTTTGTTTCCCCGACGTGCATTTAAAGCATTCGCAGTGGCGACATTTGGTGTCACCGTCAACACCCTCCACCCCCGGTAACTAGATCTCTTCTTATGACCTGCGCCTCATCATTCGAGACCTGCGTAGTTGACGTAGCCTCCCGACCCCTGAGTAACCCAGAAGTCCGTGCGCCAACCGTCATGGTGTCTACCCAGGTTGAACCACTGGATACCACAGCAGCCGGCGCCAACGGCAACGTAGCGGATCAGCATTGGGTCGGGGAAATGGCTCTGGAACAACGCCACGTAACTGCGCTCGACGGTGATTTCGACTCGCGATGCCGTACTCCGGTAGGTCACCTTGAAGCTGACAGGCATGGAGGAGATCAGAATCGCTTTGTCCGATGTGATTGTCTCCACGGTGGTAGCGCCCTCCAGTGTAACCACCTCCAGACGTGACGTGGTGGAGGTTGCGCCCAGCACCACCCTGTACATGACGCCGGGATCCATGCTCTGGCGGAACATCACCCAAGTGTTGCCAGGACTCTGGACGGCAAAGGAGATCGATGTTTCCGCGATTGGCTCGGCAGACAGCTGTCGCAAGAGGACACTTTTCGACGGGACATCAAACTTGGCGTCACGGATGACTCCATCCTCGCGGAGCAGCCACGAATCTGTCACGTCCTTCTCAAACTTCATGTGAGCAACTTCGGCTTCCGGGGAGATGTCTAGCAGCAGCAAGTGGAAGCCGTTAGGTGCTGAGTGTGAGGAGGTCACCAGGTCCGGCTGTGGCTCCGGTCCGAACCGGAGCTGGCCATCGCAGAAAGAGAGCAGGTAGCGACGCTCCTCGGTGGCACTCAGGATGTCCGGAGTGCTCGCGGTAAGCACGATGCTTTCCGCCGGTGTGCGAAGCTTCAGGACCGTTCCTGAGTTGCCGTTGACGCCTATGTCAAACACGTAGGCGATATCACCAAAGTCGCGACCGTTCGCTTTGTGCGCATTCATGTTGGATACAGTAATGCTGATGCTACCCATCTTCTGCACTCTTAGGTCAAATTTCAGTGAACACGCGCCATTAACGATTCGCTTGATCTTCGTTAAGTACGTGTCAAGCAGCCACGGTTGCCACCTAGGCAGAATTGGCCCGTCTGCCCCCGCAACCCTCCACTTGGTCGGGCTGAGCTGACACGAGTTCTCCAGACAAGCGAAGCACATTGCGGGTTGTATCGCGCTGCAGAACGCGTCCGACGCCGGACAGAAGTCCCCCTCGGCCGCTGCGGCGCACGCGGGGTCACAGTAGCCTCGCTCCGTGCAGCCGGCGTCCTCCCAGAAGTTCTGCTGTCTTTCTGCGCTGGCCGCGCTCAGGTCAGACGACACGTCCATGTAGTGGACACCTTGGGCGGCCACCAGTCGGCTCTCGTTACCGGTGAGGTCCTCGCAGGCGGAGACGTCGAACAGCTGACACTGGAGTTGCCCGGGTGGGAGTGACTCATACTGAAGCGCCTTGCAGGCAGTCTGCCGACCGCACAGTGCCAGACACTGCGCCACGCTGGCAACAGGGTGCTCAGAGAGTGGCACCGCGTCTCGAAGACGAAGGTTGTGCCGCCACCGGCCTCTGCCGAGCGTCTGTGTACCACAGAGGACCGGTACCAGCAGCGAGAGAACCTGCCAGACACGCAGCAGCCGCCACAGGCACATGGTGCGACGAAGGCGGAAGAAGCGCCAAGGAGTCTTGATAAGAGGAAGCTAAGGAGTGAGCAAGGGGGGTTTCTAAAAAGTAAGCTAGAGAGGCTTCGTCAGGTAGAGAGGCTTCCGATTCAGTCAAGGGAAGTTCCAGATGACCGAAGAAGCCTGGTAGAATGAAGTTCAAAAGCAAAGGTCCAAAGACGGATCTGATGGTAGGATGCCGAGTGGCGGGCTGCAACCAGTCGTTTGACCCGGAGTGGGAGTGACGAGCGGTTTTGGGCAGCGACGAAGTCCAACCGACTCTGTCGGGGCTCGCATGTGGAATGGTGACCCTCCACGGCCGCTGGCGTCGGTTCGTCAGTCCTATTGTTTTGGAAACGCCGTAGCGACGATCACATATCTGATGCGGTAAAGTTTTGACGCCGCACCTTATTTCGCCCGGTAATGTCTCTTGTTTTGCTATCAAACGAGCATTTGTTTCTTTCAAACAAAACCTGTATGCAGGACAATGAAAGGTATTGCTTGTAATCGGAATCGTTTTGCGTTATGATACGAAATATGTTTCGACTTTGGCATAAAAGTGACATTACCGGACGGATTTGATGAGTTTGGCATTTTTATTTGCAGTTTATGTGCAATGATCAGCCTGAATGACCAAATGTCGTATAAATTAGCTGAGGTCAGGACGCTATGCCTATTGCCTATCTATTTGACTTGACCAACGGCGTCACTGCTCAATTATGAAACATTGATAGGCTTTTGGTTTACCATTAAAAAAACTTAGACCGTTTTTATTATCAAATTAGAGGCCTTATGCGACAGAGTCACAGCCTATATACAAATACTGATGACAAAATATAAATACAGGTTAAAAGGTAAAACACTGTCGCATTGGACTTTTTATTTTGTGCGAGCCATTCATAAGAGAAAAACGCTCCTGCTTGAAAAGAGAAAGACGATCCTAATCATTTTTTTTATCTTTTGCACAAATAAGGCAACTAAAGGTACGTTCTACTTCATTACACTAGCAACAAGCCGCTTTGGTCGAGTAGACAACACTTTCGGCTCATTCACACAACGACACGTTTCACTACATTACAGCAAACGCGCACCATACGTCTGGAACATCAACCCAGATCAACGGATCACCAACAACAGATCAACGCCGTTTAACACCCGATACTCTGACCTGAGTCCCTAGCAGTAAGAACTCGCTTCCGTCAAAAGAAAACGAGATACAGAAGAGCATCGACGAAGATCAAGTAACCAGATCGCTGCGCTCCGAGATGTCCTACAGTCCATAGCGTTCACCATGCAGCTCCAAGCCAGTTCCGCTGACGCAGTCATCTGAGCTGAGGATGACTTCGACTGCCGCTGAGACTATGCTTCAGTGTCATCGTCCTCTTCATCCATTTGGTCGGCTGTTTCGTCGTCTAGAGTCCCATCTGAAATAATTTGAAAGGATATGACATGGGTTTTAAGGTTTTAACTTTTAGTGCATAATTATAATGCAATTTTTTAAGTTTTGTCTTCATCATAGATAACATGAACTACCATGTTCATGTAGTTCATGTTAGTTCATGTTATCTATGTCTTAATGAATGAAGGGATGCGGTATGTGGCCCATAATTCCATGTTCCCTTTCCCGAAACGGTCAATTACCGGTTGTGCCGCTGTCACCCTCGCTGTCCAGAAGTGGCTCCTTTTCCTCGCTATCCACAGCGCCACCAGCGGCCGGCAGAGCCGGCAGAGGAACTAAATATCCCAGGGCCGGCGACAGATGGCGCCCGGCGTCCAGCGCCGTTTGCAGCGACGTCTGGACGTATCTGGAGACCGGGCCTACCGTTAGGGGTGACTGGAAGATGGCCAGTAGAGAGCAATGGGCTTTACCCAGCATTTGGGTGCCGGAGTTTGAAAAAAATACCTCCAAAAAGTTTTAATCGGATTAGTAGAAGCTTGATGTTCACTTATTGGTAAACCAAGTTGATATCCAATTGGCATCTGTAGTCAATTCTGCCAAGACGCCGAAATCACCTATCCGTGCTTCTATCCTCAGGATACTGAAATCCTACTCCTCCACGCCGCAACCCCCCTCCGGGCTGGACAGGCAACTTTATCTCATGCGGGCTGCTCCCTTGGAGCGGCACCGCTGCTCCTGAGGGAGCGCACCCCGTAGCCGGGTGCAGTGAGTGCCTTGGGGCTGGGTGGCCTGTTCTCTGGACGGGCTCAGCCCCGGCGACTCACTAGGGTGCCTGCCCAGACCAATGTCTCCCCCTAATTCCTATCGTCCTTCCGGCTCTGCAATGGTCTTGTCGACCGAAAGGGCCTAACCCAACAAAACAACAAAGACGCCGAAACCCTGCATGCCTACGTATGTGTTTATAGGTGCTATATTACCCTACATTCTTGGCATAATAACTGACATTTATAAGCAGACTTCGTCGATGTTTTTCGTTAACCCGGCAGTTGCTGGGGTATTTCGCCACCCACCGTTTGCTGGGGGGGGGGCGTTAAACGCCCCCAGCCGATAACTCGAGAACCAATAGGCGCAGCGAAACGCACGAGGCGGCAAACGAAAGAACGCGACGAGACGCTTCAGATGAGTACTTTAAAGTTGAATTTTGAGGTCACAGGTCGGGTCAAGGTCAGGTCAAACACCTGAAATCGGGCTTTCAGTAGCATGGACTTCAGGACTTTGCAATTGGCGCCTCTCGTCATAAACTCTGTCAAAACGGTGCACAATCCATCATATAAGGCCTACAAGAGTGTCAGGTCCATGTAAAGGTCAGTCAAGCATAGGTCAGGGTCAAGGTCAGGTCAGCCGGGTAGGCAAATATCCCTGAAAATCAAAACTGATATTCGCAGCCTGTGACACATGTTTTATGGGTAATTTGAGGCGTAGAACACGATGGTGACATTCATTTTATCATATGTGTACGTGTTTGGCTCAAAAAGTTAAATTTAAAAAATGCATGTATCATGGTGGTGAAGTAGTCACGAGAAATTGCCGAGATTCAGTTCAAGATTTTGGAAAATGCGGAACGATAATCAATAATCGAAGATAGCCATTTGATTGTTCATGGTATTGGCAGTCTAATGGCGTTTACGGCATGTCTGTATGTCTATTCTGTGATTTTATATGATTTTTTGAACATATGCCGTTTTTGGTCGAAAACTCAGAAATCATGACGTCACTAAAACCTCGATATCTCAAAAATTTTCCGATCGATTTTTTTGAAACTTTGTCACAATAAACTTCAATCAATTTTCTACAGGTACCCAAAATTTGGCACGCCTGCGGCGCGCCGTTTTTATGCTATGGCCCGGCGAAAAAAGTGGGGGCGTTTAACGCCCCCCCCCCCCCAGCAACTCGCGGGTTAAGAAATGAATGCTTTTTCGTTTTTATAATTGGGTGCTTTCTCATAACTTACCTGTAGAGTATCATAACTATTGCTTTTAAAGCCATTGTGCAGAACAGGATTGCGACCAGCCATGTCACCGTCCCCGATAGAAACGCCTTCACCTGAAACGCAGTCGAATTTAAAAACATAAGGAAACAAATCAGCAATGTATACCTATGGGAGCATTATTTCATGTAACCACCATCTGTTTTATATTCTGTTCATGCAAAACTCTGTCCTTTAACCGTCCCCGGCTGAGGAGAGGTGCCACTGTTGTTCTAAATACTCTAGTGCCACCCGTTCTTTGTGACCGAACCCGCAGCTCTGCGGCCATTTTTGCGGCTTTTTCATAAAAAACGAGCCCCTACGATGTGTAGCCTTTTCATTTCGAATCAATGGGAAAACAACTTGCAGGTATAGTCATACCAAACACTTTGAAACATCGGGTAACAGGTAAACATGGAATATTGAATCGGACAATTGCGCCCGTGAGTTGTGACACCTCTTTATATATACCCCTTAGGTCATCAAATATCACCTATCGGATTGGTGACACACACATTAGATGCTCGTATTTTCTCTGCACCTTTAAGCTTGTATATTGCCGACGGTGGAAAATGTATGCTGAGCCTCCTGGTGGGCTCGTAACTGTAGGTACAGCCCACCGCTAAAGTAATGTAGGGTTTTACCAAACTCAACGGTTGGCTTTGACTGGCGATTGTTTAATGCGAAGTGATTGAAAAGAAGATGTCAATAGCTAAAGTTGCAGCTGCAAGGGTGACGATACATATAAGCTACATTCAAAGTTTCATTGTAGTCTGGCTAATCGTTCCTAAGCTTCAGAAGCAGAACATACCCATGACTGAAACACCACATTACTTCTGCTGTGGACTGTACCAGGGGTTGTAGGCCTTACCTTGTAGGTGCAGCCGACGGCGTGAATGCTGAGCCTCCTGGTGGGCTCGTAGTTGTACCAGGGGTACGTGGCGTACATCTGGTGGCACCAGGTGGGCGCCGACGGGTCACAGCAGCTGAACGGTACCTCTGCGAACGGCACCCCAGTCTTCATGTGCAGCAGCGCCGAGGTGTATTCGCCATGCACAAACTCATAGTCCATCGCCTTCGCCACCTGCAGACGGTAATTGGAGATCGGAGCTACCTCCTGCCAGCGTCATGATTCCCTAATAAAAAGGTGGGAAAACAGTGCCATTCTGCTATATCTTCTGACTCACACAAGGGCTCACACTTTCATTGCGAGTACCCATTCAACTTAACCCTCGCCCGTATAGGGGGGGGGGGGGTCGAACGGACCCCCCCCCCATGGTTTTTCGCGAATAACTCGCGTAAAAAGCGGCCGATCGCGACGAAACTTTCAGTACCCTCGCGTTATTCATTTTACACCTACCCTGAAAATTTCATGACCCTGACCCAAATGACCTTTGACCTGTGACCTACTTTTCGAGACCATGTTTCAAACATGTGATATGGTGTTGCCCCTATGCATTAGGGTGGGTGTCAAGGTCACCTGAAGGTCAGGTCAGGTCAATGACCTTTGATGACCTCGGTTCACTTTTTCGAGTTTTACATGTTTCTAGGCCAGTTTTTGGAGCTGAATTCGAATTTAGCAACCATATGAACATTTACGAAGTAGTTTTGGTGCCTTCGTAACATGTTACGAAGCTGTCAGAGGCGGTTGACACCTACTAGGAATACCCGGTAGGACTCCTACTGGTTGACCTGACCTGACCTGACCCGACCTGGACTAAATGCATGAAGACATCATCTGTGATCAAAACTAACATGATATTCGTGATCAGCACCCCAAAAAACCCATAGCAACCACACTTTACGACGTTCTAACAGGTCCCGATTTTCCCGACTTTTGGGTCATTGACCTGACCTGCAAGGTCAACCAATGACCTAGGATCTTAAAATTGGGTATCATCGGCTCCCTCTCGTCACGGGCAACACGCTCGTTTTTTCCGCGAAGCTCTAGCTCGATCAGGGGCGAAACGGCAAGGGGGGTCCAACGGACCCCTCCCCCTTATACGTTCGCGGCTGGAAAAACACCAATACGGGCGAGGGTTAAATTACCTTTACCTTTACCTTTATCTTACCACCCACCTATATATTTTCTTTTTTATGGTCAGTATTTATCAAAGAAAATGCGTTCATCCCCTCCGCTTTTTCTCTCGTTTTCTCCTTCTTTCTGTATCTCTCTTCGCTCTCTCTCTCGCTCTCTCCCTCTCTCTCTCTCTCTCTTTCTCTCTTTCTCTCTCTCTCTCTCTCTCTCTCTCTCTCTCTCTCTCTCTCTCTCTCTCTCTCTCTCTCTCTCTCTCTCTCTCTCTCTCTCTCTCTCTCTCTCTCTCTCAGTCTCTCTCTTTCTTTCTCTCTCTCTCTCTCTCTCTCTCTCTCTCGCTCTCTCTCTCTTTCTTTCTCTTTATACTGCTCTTCCCACGGAACGGCTAAGCATTAATTTCAGTCGCAACTTTACCTTTTCCATGTGGGCATCCGTTCCATAAGAGTCCATGGAAAACGATTCAATCAGGGATGATGAGTCAGGATATTTATCTTTTGCCAGGAACGCCTGAGAAAAAAAATGAAAAAGAGTGATAATTGCAAGAAAAAGAGTTGTAAGTAACAGTATGCTAACAGATAACTCATACGCGTACTTATTTCTATGACGCATGCGAGTGGAAGTGTATCGACGATAGTTGAGTGATATGCGTGCATAAAGTCAGGATGTGTCACGCTAGGGGTCATTTCTATGAAAGTAGTCTCACACCTGTGTGATTGTAAATTGCAGTTCCAGGGGAATTCATAATCATGCCCCAGCGAATTATGTAAATGCCCCTGCTCCTCGGTAGTATGCCGACGCATGGTATACTGGTCATCAGCTAACGGCAAAACGTCAGACCTCATCTGCCTCCCAACAGCTTATGGTAAAAAGAGTTATTCCACACCAGTTATTCTGCACCAGAACCCCAACAACCCACGTCTACCCGACAACATGTCAGTGCAGATTTCGGCCAGTCTCCCCCTGTAACGTCCACAGTGCCCGCTCGGATCCCGCCTCTGACCTGGTTGGACCGGTATGAAGTTGATGGCGGAGTATTTCGGCGGCAGCAGGGCCCGCGAGACCACCACGCACCGCGTTTTAGTGGTGTGGAATAACTCTTTTTACCATAAACAAATGTCCCAGTACAATAATTCCATTTATAAAGCTCCCAACAGCTTGTGTTGTAGCAGGCTGGCTTCTCCTGAGCGACCGGCCAAGCCATCATGCCATAGTGTGCATGTAGCGCAGCGCCTGCATGAGTCACGGTGCGTGCGGCAGGGAGCTTGTCACGAAGCGAGAATGTTTCATTGTAGCAGGTCAGGCTAGCTGTAAAAAGTGCCGCCTTGACTGGAAGCTCTGAGCTCTGGGAGCATGAACACTTTGATCATGTCGGCAGACATGTACAGGATATCTGGATCAAAGGCCTTGTTGGCATCTGTGCGGTACGGATCTCGGGCCTGCCTCAAGGTGTTCCATATGCGACTCGTATTGTTCAAGGCCATCTATAGAAGGTACAGTCACTCCCCTGTCGAGGCCAATCAGAGACAGATCCTGAGTGACGTCACCCCTGATGCTCGCAAGGGGTACTCTATTCCTTTACAACGTTAAAATGACTAACTTCACTTGAAGATTATTGATGCCATTTCCACTTACTTAACGCTCAACCGTTGCTGTCAATAAAAAGCCCAACTAATTTTCTATGGATAAAAAGAGCAGCAATATGATAAGAAATGGCCAGTTTTGATTTTTGAAGATATAGACGATTTAAAAACCCTCTGCAGTTGCAGGAAAGCAACGTAAAATTTCATCGAGCTGATATTTTTACTATGAATAAATCATTTTTCTTTAAGTTTTTCAATATAGTATCAATTTTATTAATAACTTTATTACAATATTTTTATTATTTGTAACTTTATTTCAAAATTTTATTTTCAAAAACGGCAGCTGTTGGCAAGTAGCTTGGAAGCGATTGTGGCGCACCGCGCCATTTTTATCCTAAGGCCCCCTTATGATGTCATCAAAAGTGGAGTGGCATGGGCCTGGTATTGTTCGCACCCTGGCTCATGGTGGCCCGGCTCCTCCTCCGTCTTGTCATAAATGTCAGCGGTATGCTGTTCTTGGATGGAGCATCGCGAACATTCCTCACCAACCAGCCTCGTGAACGAGATGTTGAGGCTGCGGGGTTCGGAGTTCGGACTACCTTCCAGTAAGTTTCAAAGCTACACTTTTTGGCATTCGGCTGGGTTAGGTAATCGTGATGCATTTGTGCGATGGTCAGGTCCTGTGGAAGATATCGGTTGGGCGCATGCTCGTATCGATAATGATGTTTTATCGGGTGGAACTTCCATATGGGCTCTTTGAGAGCCTCGATATCCACCTTGTTGCTTGCCGGACCTTGTCTGCTTGAGGACAGATATCACCGTCCTCAACGGCACCAGCGCTTGTCTGGCCGAAACCGAGTGTCGTCAGGAAAAATGATTTGCAGACGACAGGCATTGCATTCATCTCTCATGACAGCGACCGAGTGAAGTTCTTATTCTTCTTGCTGCTTTCAGTTTCATTGGTCACGACTCTCCTATAGCCTTCGTGGGTGTGAACGTAAGACCCGTACCACTGTCGTCTCGCGGAGAGATCCTTCGTGTCCATCGCTTCGTTTATGCTTTTTCTTCGATGCTCGGTGAAGTTTGTGGTGCAGTTCTTTTTACACCCTTGTTTGCACGAATTTGAGACTGGTTTTACTAAGTGCTTTTCGGCGAATTTCTACACGCGAGTTTTTGTTCTTGCTCTTTTCTTTTTCTTCACTAGGACGTTTGTTTCGGGCTTCCAAGTTCATGCTTCGTGGTCGGAGTGCTGAAAATGCGTGGAAGTCGCCTGTTCGTGCGATTCATCCTCTAGAGCTGTTTTCAAATCCTGTCGAGGATTCGTCGAAGACGAGTAGCCTACTTGAAGACGAGGTGAAGAGTGTCGCTTTCGTCCATAAGCGATTCCTCACCAATGTCGAGAAATGGAGAGGGGTGAAGTGAACATGATCTTTCTGAATCATGGTCCACTTCGTTTGTGCTTACCAGATCCGAGCCACCACAAGGCTGGGCAGCGACTTGCTCAAGATAGTGTGCACGCCCGTGGTGAGCCAGCGGCTCCTCTGGCCGTTCCCCCGCCAGTCTACAGGACACCGGCGGCTCCCCCATCGGCCCGAAGGGCACGGTCGGCTCCTCTGTAGGTCCGACAGACACCGGCGGCTCCTCTGTCATTTTGCGGGATGCTGGGGATGGGCTTGTATTCGATGTGCAGGGAATTCGCGACAGTGGATCTATCGTGACGGTGCCCTCGCTTCTTGTACCACCACTATTGCCTTGGCAGCACTTCACAGCTGGAACGATGCGTGCGAGCTGGGATGCAGTGAACTTGGCTGTCTTCTTGGCGGAAACTGTGCCAGTCCAAAGCTCGCCTTTCCTTTTCAAGCCCACTCGAGCTCCAAGCATCAGTGCACCTTCTGACAGTAAACTAAGCTTTGCCTTCGGAACGTAGTGCCACTCACCACATTGCTTACCTATCGTCCCAACTCACGTATTTCTTCTCTTCCTTTTCTTTTTCTTTTCTCCATCCCGCACAAAGCTTAGCTAGGTACCTACTCGATGATCAAAGAAACTATAGTATAGTTAGAACCCATGACTAATGTCTAATAACGCACCTAGGCTCGTAAGCCTAAGCCATTAATTAGCAATGATCACCAGCGATTTTCCGCAGAGGACCCCTTGCAATGCAATGTGACGAAATTCTATGTGCTGAATGCCAATTGGCCAACGGACATTTAGACAATTCAAATGATGTGTTTTGGTTGGCCTCAAGGCCCTAAAACATAAGGTTGGACGAAGTTTCCTACCAACAAGGTACTAGAATTTGTCGTGATATTTCGTCCTTGCAGTTGTTTCTTTACAAATATAGAGCAAACAAACATGTTTTCTAATAGTATGAGAATTTGAAAGGAAATAATAAGTCACTTTACATTTGATTCACAAAAAGCCATTTCGAAATCAAATTCAGTGTAGTTTTGACCAAACTCTAGTCGACTTATCCAGTATCTACTTAATTTTCCAGATGCGTGGTTCAGACAAACACGTTGCTATGGGCGGTTGCTAAGGACGCTATCTCGTATTTGCAGATAGTTTTGTTGTTATGAAATAGGGTAAAACAAGCTCTTTGGATATTTTTCTGTATTTCGGGGCTCATCTAATTTATCTAGCTTTGGCATAATATTTTTACTTTATCATATCATGGTTCCAGACATAGGTAATTAATTTCAGCGCGTAAAGAAATAAGAATAAAGACTTATTATGTTATACAGAATGCAAGTCGCCAGTCCCTGGTGGTAAAGTGAATGCTACACAGAGATATATGTTTTTATCCCGGTAGAAGCATCCTTGTGATCTAAGTGTGATCGATCATAAATTGTATGAGAATCAGAAGTTTAGCTATAAGTCAAGAACCACAAAGTATAAGTCAAGACAAAGTATAAGTATAAGTCAAGACAAAGTATAAGTCAATGAATAGCATTGTCCATCTGTGTTTTCTTGATGCAAGCAAGGCGTTTGACCGTGTTAATCATAAAATTCTCTTTCAGAGGCTTTCAGAGAGAGGTGTTCCTTATGTGTACCTAAGATTGCTTGCGTTCTGTACCAAGAGCAAGAAATGGTCATTAAATGGGGATCCACTTTTTCAGAAAAGTTTAAAGTGTCCAATGGTGTCCGGCAGGGAGGTATCTTGTCACCTCCCCTTTTCAACGTGTTTATAGATGAGTTGTCTAGCAGATTAAATGAAAAGGGCATAGGTTGTCTTATAGGTCGGAAATTGGTCAATCATTTGATGTATGCTGATGATGTGGTGCTTATCTCTCCATCAAGTGCAGGGATGCAAAAACTGTTGAATGTTTGCCATGAATTTGGTATGGCAAATGATGTTGTGTATAATAGTTCAAAGAGTGTTGCAATGTCATGTAGATCGAAGGGGATGAGGAATGTCAAAATACCTGATTTTATGTTAGGGCCCATGCCGTTAGTATGTGTTGATAAAGTTAAATATCTTGGGCATATCATAGAGGAAGACGACTGATGATCTAGATATTGCCAATCAGAACAAAGGTTTATTTGTCAGAGGGAATATGATCATAAGGATGTTTCACATGTGTACTGTAGATGTCAAACTGAAACTATTTGAGACTTACTGTTCATCGATGTACAGTGCACACCTGTGGTGGAACTATAGGAAGGCAACTATGAATCGACTCATTGTGAGCTATCACAACCTTCTTAAACGACTTATCGGGTTATCTAAATTTGAGAGTACGAGTATGACATGTGCATATTTTAGAGTGCTGAATTGTGAAAGCGTGTTCAGGAAACTTATTTATAAGTTTCTGAGAAGACTTGAAGAGAGCCCCAATAGCATCATTGAAGCAATCAATTCAGGGGATCTCCGTTTCAGATCAAAACTGAAACGTTTTTGGCTCAGTAAGCTCTATTGTCATGCTGTGCTACAGTGAATGTGCATCGACTGGGAGTGTGCCTTAATCGATGTTTGTTGTTGTTCATCCATCATCCATAGTGGTACATCCATCATCAACTCATAGCAATGGACTGTTAGTCTGGAATACAAATCTATCTATCTATCTATCTATCTATCTAACCACGAAACAACCAGCTTATAGCTGGTGGAAGAGCCGCCACTCAGAATCTTTCAGAAAACCGTGAACGGTTGAGACAGCCGACAGGTTGAGAAATCAAGAGAACTGAGGCGCCAGAGAACCAGAGAATGCCTGGGAACTTTAACCCTCGCCGGCCGAGGGGGGGGGGGCGGGTGCCGCCCCCCCATAGGGTTTTTTCGCGATAGCTCCGAACACGCTGGCGATAGAGAGCTGAAACTTGGCATACCTGACCTTTGATCCAAGCCGCATCTTTTGACACCAACCGCATTTTTGGGTCAGGCCAGGTCACTGACCTATGACGTCATAAGTGAACCTCTGCACGGTCTTCAGATGTCGCAACTTCGCAACGCCCTCACTGCCAGAGGAGATGTCACAGGGCAATGAAACTTGCAGGATCTAGTATCCATTATGAGTCCCACAACTTGTATATCTCGGATTTTTCCTAAAGGTCATATGAGGTCAGGTCATTTTCGTGACCTCACCATTATAAGTCAATGGGGAAAAATTCAAACTGCTATTCTGGCGCCGGGAACGATCTCCAACTATCTCAAGCACACAGAATCGTGATTTGATGCACTCCTTGCAAGGTTAGATGCGTCACTTTTGCAATGTTGACCTTGCGTGACGTCATTTATGACGTCATCAAGGTCATATTAGTTTTTCGTCAATAACTCTTGATCAAATTGAGCTAGCGAGTCGGGAAAGCCACCAATGGACTCAGGAAGACCTGCCGAATCGAATGATATGCGACATGACCCCTTTCGACCACCTTCGTGACCTGGGGGTGCTGACCTGACCTTGACCTGAGGTCAACACCCCAAGTTGACCTGACCCGGACAAAAAGCATATCATTCGACGCGCCTGAGCGAGACGAACACGATGCTGCCAAAATCGGCGCTCTGCGGCCGTTTTTTGCGAAGTTATTCACCAAAAACTGAACCGTACCTTGGGGCACTTGACCTGACCTCAGAGGTCACCGGTTGACCTAGGACCTTAAAATCGGGTACCAATCTCTGCGTCTCGTAACGGCGCACACGCTCGTTTTTTCCGCGACGCGCTAGCTCCACCAGGGGCGAAACGGCGAGGGGGGGGTCGTACCCGCCCCCCCCCCCCCCTCGGCCGGCGCGTATGTAGAAAACCAATAGGTCCGGCGAGGGTTAAGGAACCGCTGGCCACCAGATCTTGACTAGAAACCAGAAGCCATGAAATGACCATTTCACGATCTAAGATGCAGATTCTGGTGCCTGAAAATCGTGTGAACACACTTGACATTCCAACAGCAGCTCATTTCGGTACCGTTATAAGTCCAGGGCTGCGCAGTCGATGGATTTTCGGTGACTCTGACTCCGACTCCGACTCCGGCTTCCAAAAACCAACTTCGACTCCGACTGCGGGCATACATTACCTATCGACTCCAGCCGACTCTATTTCCGACTTCGACTCCGCAACCCTGCCAGGTCTGCGGAGTCGATTGATTTTCGGTGACTCCGACTGACTCCGGCTCTGGTTTCCAAAATCGACTCCGATTCTGACCCCGGTCAGAACTGTGGTTATAAATAACATGTCTGTGAATAAAAGTTGTTTCGGGTGCAGCCACCCCCTTTTGCTTTTCACACTCAAAAGCTCGTCCAAAACAGGAAGATGAACAGGAACTCAGCTTAAACATCGGTCTTGGAAAGGTCACCGAACGTAATATTTTTCCGCAAACAGACGAAGACCACGAATTTGAGCAATGACATGTCGATTAAGACTCTGAATCCGGGCAAAACTGTCGACGCCGATCGACTCCGACTCCGACTCCGCAGACCTAAACTTTATTCAACGGATTTCCATGAGACTTTACGCCGGCAAAATGCAGATAAACGTGCTCCTCTCGTCAATACGCGTCAAATAACCTTTGAATTGACCACAAAAAGTCATTTCGACAATTTTACCTCATTTCCAGGTCATGTCCTGACCGGAAAATGCCGTAATGCATATCAGTCGATCTGTATCGTTGGGCTGAACACATCTAATGTATTTTTGTTGCTGTTTAACCCGCGCCCCGCTGGGCTATTCAGCCATACGCGCCCTGCTGGGGGGGGGGGGCAGATTCTGCCCCCCCCCCCTGTCTAACTTCCGAACCGATGGTCGTAGAAAGACGGGGAAAACGGCAATCGAAAGCTCTCAACACGGCGGATCTTAAGAGCCCAAATTTTTTTGCTTAAGTAGGTCATAGGTCAGGTCAAGGTCAGGTCAAGGGTACAAAATGCAAGTTTCTACAGTATCGGCCTTGCACCGTAGTTGCCGAAGAATGGACTGAGACTGATTGCCCAAAACGTGTTCTTAGACTACCAAGACAATATTCGGTGCATACAATGTCATTCAAAGGTCAAGGTCAAGGTCAGGTCAGGTCAGGTCAGGTCACCAAAAACAAAATATAGTAAAGGGCATGTGCGACACATGTTTTATGGGTCATTTTACTCATAGAATTCAATAGGCACACTCAATAAGTGATATGGACCACCTCTGGATGAATTTCAGGTCGAGGTCAGGTCAAGGTCAGGTCAAGTGAGGTCAAATTTTGAAGTTGGTTTTTAAGGCCTAAAAAGGTATCTATCTGATGCAGTATTTCACGGCGAATCGAATGGTGCTATTTTTGTTTCCGTACGAGGTCTAGAACTTCCAAAAAAAATCATTTTTCAAAATTTTTGTGTGTCGTGACGTCATAAAATTTTGAATAACTCCCACATTTTTGAACCGATTCTTCTCAAAATTGGTATGTAGGTGCACCTAGACCACTTCTCTGACATATATTCCGGTTTTTTCGATACACTCAAAATTTTGGATTTTATAATTATTTTCCCAAAAAAGTCAGTTTTTTGAAAAAATTTGGGCCAAAATCTAAAATTTTCAAAAAACCGAGATAGCCATTTGATAGACAAAGTGGAATCACGCATAACCTTTTTTTACGTCTTGATTCCTTTAAAAATGAAGATGTCAGCGGCGTTTGAAATTTTGCCGTTTTTGAGGCGAAAATGGCGAACATGACGTCACTAAAACGTCAATTTCTCAAAAATTTTCCGACGGATTTCGCTCAAATTTTCAGGGAACGTGTCAAATTGATGTATGATAAGGTACCGAAAGTTTGACGTCGCTGGCGTAACGCGTTTGGAAGTTATTGGCGAAAAACGGGAGGGGGGGCAGATTCTGCCCCCCCCCCCCAGCGGGGCGCGGGTTAATCAAGAATCATATCTCTGTCAAAGGTTACGGTAAAACAAAAAACTGCTGGAGACCATTCTTGACCTGAAATGACCTTAGGGACATAAAGAGGGGTCACGGGTGCAATGCTGCGCCTCTTGGGGCACCATATGCGATGAGATCGATGCGTGGCGACTGGCGTACACCTCGCTGTTTCTGCCTTTGAACAATTTTTGTCTGCTTCATCTGCTAAAAACACAATAAACACATTATCGAGCGTAGAAGCATGACTCTTTTGTTACGTACAAGCTTTGTTCAGTTTGTCTGTAAGCACCATCAAATATTGCAAGCTTCAAGGGGTCAATGCCCTGGGGCTGTGACGTCACGCTGGGGATCGTGACGTCAGCCGTGGGGTTGCCAGTCTAGTATGAACTAGACTTCGACCCCCCTGGTTGGCCTATTGATGTGCACTCGAAATAATATCGATAGTTACAGCACGTGGCTCTTTTGCCTCGGCATTTCCTGCGGGAGATAATTGTAGCCGGAAAGTGGATTTTTTTGCAAGAATCATCTGCTTCTCAGCCGGCAAAACCCATCATGTGATCATGAAAATGGGCATTGTGATCCCATTCTTCAGTGCAGCGGCCTCACCTTTTTGGCCAGAATGGAACGTTCAATGGCGAAGTTCCCATAGTTTCTAGCCGGACTAGAGCGTTCCTTGGCATAGTTCCCACCTTTTTGGCCAGACTGGAGCGCTGTTTGGCGGCTGTCCTGTAGCGAGTGCTGTACAGGTCGCGCGGGTACCAGTCGACAACGAACCAGTCGGAGAAGCCGAGGGCACCGCAGCAGCCAAAGTCCTGCTGCACGCCGTCCAGATACTCCTTCAGCGGCTGGCTCTGCATGTAGCGCCACATGGCGCGCGAGAAGCCGCGCTGGTAGGCCGCCTGAAACGAGTCCAACTGCGCGAAACAACTGCTCAGTTTCATTGTGGGCTAGGCCTGTGCAAAAATTGTCTTTTTTACCGTCTCCGACTTAAGTTTGATGGAGGATGCACCTGACTGTCTTCCAACTTCACCTGTCTTCCGTATAATAAACGAGTTAATTCAACAATTTAAATACAGCACGTTTGTTCCAAACATAAACATAATTCTGATATTCAACAACAGGATTGTTACCTGCAATATGAAAACGATTCCGATGGCAAGTAGGTAGGCAGTGGTCGCAAATTCGATAAATAAGTAGAAGTAGCCGAACTGGACCGCTGCCCGGCGACCTGTCTTACGGCGCTGTCTGGCAGACACGCCGGACATAACAGCCAGACAACTGGGGAAGCATACAAGGCAGCAGCCACTGACAACTTGAGAAGGCAACCTAAACATAACCTTCGGACAACTGGGCAGGACACTGGACACCCCAAACATAACTGTGCCAGAACTAGCCACTGGGAAAAACGCCCAATTATTAGACGTTCCTAAAAAACTGATTTACGCCTCATTTCTTTCTACGACAGAGAAAACACTGTTATAAAATTGTAGGCATGTTGATATTTTCCCGTCATTATTATCCAACATTCTTTCACTATTTCGTCGTACCTTTCTTTTGGCCCTCTTCAACCACATTTCCCAATATTGTTCTGCCTCTGACCCTCCCTCTGACCACCCTCCCTTCCCCTCCCCGTCTCACTGACCTGGATATGAGTGTGGCTGCACTGGCAGCGATCAGCCCGTAGGGGAACAGGTCTGAGTTGACCTTCTGACCCGTCACCAAATGGTGACGCTGTAGGTACGGTCTCACGTAGAAACTCAGCGCCAGCAGCGCCAGTCCCACCTGGCCAGGGCGGGCACATGCATTGGAAAGAAAATTATATTTGAATTTTTATAAACACACCTACGTTCTAAGCGTTTCAATATGTCAAAGTTTCTATAGTAGAAAGTAGCTGCGAATATGTGACTATAATACAAAGGTATAGCCAAGGGTATAGCCATGTTAATAATTTAGTCATGCTCATGTATCTTATTACGGAGCGAGCGAAGCGAGCGGAGTCTCATACTGAATTAAGGGAAAATCCTGAGTATGAGCGGCCGACGCTCTTCAAAAGCTAATATCTTAGGAACGGGACATCCGATTGACAAGCGGTCTTCTTTACTGAATGTCACTTGGACGTAAAAGTTCTGTGGTGTGATGGCCACCATGCGTTCTTGCCAACCACCGCACGTGGCGCGTGGTAAAGTTGGACATTTTTTAAGAACCCCCAAAATTGCAACCTCAATAACGGCACAACGGTTGGGCCGATTGAATTGAAACTCGGTACACAGTTAGGTCTCCATCAGATAGTTCATCTGCATGTGATAAGGCTGGGGTGCTACAGCACGTGCGCACGTGCAGGGGGCGCTCCCAGATCTCGAGAACGGCTGGGCCGATTGCGCTCAAATTTGGTACACGGTTGGGGACCAGTTAGTAGGGTGCCGTGCAAAAGTCAGTTTGGACCCCGCTTGCACGTGCGCACGTGCAGTGTGCCGCTTCCAGATCTCGAGAACGGCTAGGCCGATTGCGCTGAAATTTGGCACATCGCTAAAGACCGGTTAGTAGGGTGCAGTGCACAAGTTAGTTGGAGGTACCCCCTCGCAATTTCGCACGTGCAAGGCCCATCCTCTCGCTCGCTCCGTTGGTCGCCCAAAAGGCGTTTTACTGGTGTCATGTCATGCCAAGAAAGGAAAGGATGAATCTACCCTACATGAAGACCGCAAGTGAATCGGTTCAGCCATTGTTGAGATAGGCATCAGCCTTTCAATGGCGTGATCACTGTGTGCAAATGTAAAAAAAAAACTTTCTTACCTGGCATAGCAGAAGACTCAGAAGAATTATTGAAAAAGATATGCATTGCCGTGATTTTTCAGAAATCTCGATTGGAGGACATCCACGTGTCTGAGATGATGACATGTTTCCTTTTGAAACAAATGCTTGGAATCGATTATAACGGGTCTATAGGTGGACAGAGTTCTCTTTTCATTTCACAAACTCTATTGTTATCTAATTTTTGTAGCGTTTCATCTTGCAGTGACGTTTAAGCCATTAAAAATGAAAATGATATTAGCAGCTATACTTTTCGTCAATATCGAAAAAGGGCATCTTGCATGGTACAATGATTAAGCACAAACCCTGAATAATCGTCATTTTGTTGAGTGAATACAGTAATACAGCTTCGATTTATTGGTATTTTACCCCAGCATGTGATATATGTTTGCAACATACCACGTTATGAAGCATTATTCTCCGTAGGTATGCGTAGGTATAGGTATGTGCAACTGTTCCAGGAGGAGTAGATACCATGCGTCCCAATAAAAAGTTATGTCGCTAGTCTGTTTTATTTTCTGGATCTCAGGGATGCAGGTATCCGCCCCCCCCCCCCCTGGTGCGTATTTGGCGCGGCCTCTCGTCCGTGCATGCAGGCTAAAATCGTCGCGCTCTTTTAGCTACAGACGTCTCAATAATAATAGTAAAATATATATTGGCAAAGGTCTTATTTGTACACAGCTTTCTATTCATGTGCATTTGGTCTGGACACTTTTTAGTTCATAGCTTCTCAGCCACCCTTAGCGAGTACCTATACCGTCGATGTAGTTAGGGCTCAGGGCTAGACACAACAGCCGGAACCTGACAGACAAATGCCAGCGAGGACGTGCAGGGCACGGCAAGCCACCTGTCAACAGATACGCTCGCCAAAACAAAAACACATCGTCTATCAGTCGTCGGACCAGGTTCCTGGCCATTCCACTCATTATATCCGTAGGGAGATCCATCTTCCCAAACCCACTGAGAAGAGCCACCCTCCCTACTCAGACCGATCCATCCATTGTTGAAGCTTTTCTCCAACAGCAGTGCGATGAGTCCTCGGTTCTCTGCTGTCACTGTAGCCAGGTGACTGAAACCGGCAGTCATACAGCGCTGCTTGGCTCTGTCATACGTAGTGCGACTATCGCTGCCAAAGTAGCAGTTGTTGTCGGTGTGAAGGACGCTAAGTGCCGGACATGTGTAACAGCGTCCATCCGGTCTTTGCGTAGAGCCGGCAGGACACGATGGTCTTGGCTGGGGCGCGTTCGCGAGCATGTCCAAGCGAGAGCTGATGTCCCGCAGGGAGTCATCGGTTCTGCTTTGTAAGAGCTCCAGAGTGCGGGCCAGTTGAGTGTAGTCCGACCTCAGGTATCCAAGCTCTGTCAGGATATCTTCCTTCCCGTTCTCCACTGCCGTGATGATTGACTGAGCCAGTTGCTCGACGGCAGGTCTGAGGTCCCCCAGGTCGTCTCCAACACGGCCTATAGCACGCTGAAGCTCGGAGAGTCTCTGCAGGACGGCCGTCTTGGCGAGCTCGCCCTCGGCTCTGAGCGTCAGCAGGCGGTCAGTGCAGACGTCGTTTGCCGAGTGCCACCCGGAGCGAGAGTTGTGCGGCAGCGGGGCGGCCATGACCCCGGTCGGGTCACCCTCGGAGGGGGTCAGAGGCGCTGGTCCAGCCGACACCGAGAGGTCACGACCCTCTCCAGCCAGCTGGGGATCAGAGAACGATGTGGGGTCAGGTCACAGTGACACTGCATTAAATGCACGCAACGATGGGAAATGTATGTACAAAGCTCTTAAGCACCACTTAAAGGCACCTCTTAGGCACCACTTAACCCGCGCCCCGGTGGGATCTGTTTATAACGCGACCTGGTGGGGGGCTATTTTTTGCCCCCCCCCCCCCCCCCTCGTATCTCCGAAACTACTGAACGGATCCGCAAAATTCAAACGGCGTTCGAAAGGCCTGTCAAATTTGTCGAAGGAAACCAAATTTCATTGACCTCGGGGTCACCGATGACGTCACAGGTCAGGTCAAAGATGAAATGTTTCACCGTTCACGGGTCATCTAGGGAATGCGCTATAACACCGAAGAAAACGCATTTTGTCGAGAATCAGCGATAGGGCGTCAGTTGCCTAGTACATATGTTGCTATGAGAGGTCAACGACATTACCAGGTCAGGTCACAGGTCAGGTCACCAAGGGTCACAGGTCAGGTCACATGAACCTAACTTCAGGTACTAAGGTTGTGCGATGCATGTTTTATGGCCAATTTTTCATTTCCAACTCAATGGTGTTGGTTATAAGACTCTCAGGTACGGCTTGGGTCACTTTCTGGTGAAGGTCAGGTCAAGGTCAGGTCAAAAAGGGTCAAATTTTAAAGTTGATAGTTTTGCATAAAATGGGTATCGATTCGATGCAGCTCGTCACGGGGAGTCTAATGGTGGTCTTTGTTTTGCGCTACGGGGTCTGGAATTGCTAAAAATTGAGTTTGAAAATTTGACGTCATCAATTTTGAACAGTTTTTGCTATAACTTCGCCAAAAAAAGAGATATCAATCTCAAATTTGGTATGTGGATAGAAGGCGGTAAGGACTATCACATATGTTCCGGTTTTTGCGAAATTCAAAAACTTTTTTGGATTTTTATATATTCATATATACATGCGACACAATCACAGTTGCCAAAGAATGGCCTTGGTGATGTTTGCTAAAACGCATGACGATGATGATGACCAGCATCCATCCATCTAACAGTCATACGCAATCACATTCAGGTTGCTCTCTCATTTCTAACAAGACAATCCCACACGTTCGTTCCATGCATATTTTGACAATTTTTACAATGATAGGCATTAGGCACACAGTACACAGAGCATAAGTTATGTAATGTGGAAATAGTCGACATACAATTGATTTCAAGCATTTGTTGTTCGCAAGGGTACTACTATTGTTAATAAAAACTAAATGTTATTTTCTTCTAAGACATATTTTTGGAAAGCTGCAGCACTTTCTGCTTCTATGAGCCTCGCAGGCAAGTTGTTCCAGTCACGGATAGTTCGAGGAAAATATGAGTTGTGATAGGACAAAAGTCGTGATTGAAGTCGTCTAACCTTTTTGCTGTGATCATTTCTTCCTATGTAATCAGGTTGTATGAGGATGCCACTGACATCTAATCTGCTAAAGCCACTGCATAATTTAAACATCAAGCATAATCTAGCAGCTCGGCGTCGGGTCTCTAGATTTTTCCAGCCAATATCAGACAACATCCTGCTAACACTACTATACTATCCCTCGAATAATCATCTAAAACAAATCTTACAGCTCGTCTTTGTATCATTTCTAGTTCATGCTTCGTTCCCTCTGCACTTGGATCCCAGACACAGCTTGAATATTATAACAGTGGCCTGACTAAGGTCAAATAGACGCTTTCCTTAACAGTCTGCGGGCAGCCTCTAAAATTTCTTTTGACAAATCTCAACATTTGATTTCCTTTACTTGTAACATATTGTATATGTTTTTGCCAACTACATGTACTCGAAAGGTGAACGCCTAAGTACTAACATTCTTTGACTACCTGGACCTCTAAACCATTTAGATAATATTTCGGTGTTTTTGCACATTTTTGTCTGGACATTCGCATTAAAGCACACTTTCTAACATTAATAGTCATATTCCAGTTTTTGCACCATCGTGACAATTCATTTAAATCTGTCTGTAAGGTTTCGCTTGATATCTGATCACTCCTGACCTTCGTGTACAGGACTACGTCATCTGCATACATTCTTACCTTGCATTTCATTATGTCAGGGAGGTCGTTGATATACAAAAGAAACAAAATTGGGCCCAAGACGCTGCCCTGCGGGACTCCAGATGTGACAGGTAATTCATCTGAGTATGAATTTTCCACAATGACTTTTTGAGATCTATTGGTAAGAAAAGCCTGTATCCATCCTATTACTTTCTCATCTAAGCTGTACATTTTGAGTTTGTTTATGAGATGCTTATGTGGCACCTTATCGAAAGCCTTGCTAAAGTCAATGAAAACAAGATCTATACTGTTTCTTTTATCATTTGAAGACATGGTTATAATAGATTTATAGATTTATTAGACATGGTTAAATAGATTTTTCGGCTATTATAATCAAAAAATCTATTTTTTGATTTTTGGGGGTCAAAAACCAAAAATTTCAAAAATCCGAGATAGCAGTTTTGTAACCCTATCAATTCTACAGCTTTTATGTTTTAATCGTTTTTCTGTATTTGCCAAGCTATAGACCTGACAGCTCTTCCCGCGAAACCCTTTTTTTTGGTCGAAAACGGCAGAACATGACGTCACTCTGACGTCATTTCCGGCCAACCTATCATAGCCTTTGGAAAAAAAATTCGGTTACAATGTGTAAAATTGATGTCCGGGAGGGTACTTAAAGTTTGGTGACGATCGGCGCAGCGGTTCTGGAGATATATCGAAAAGTCTTGAGGAGGGGGGGGCAAAAAATAGCTCCCCCCCCCCGCCAACCAGGGCGCGGGTTAAACACGCAGCGTGCATTTATATGGCAGGTCTGATAAAATAGGCATTTTTGCATCGTATTATTTGAACGTATAAATGAAGCATGTTATTATGCCTACCTGCGGACAGTTTGCCTTTGCCCTACGGTCCAGTCTGGATAAGAATGAAGACAAACGGGGAGAGGTCTTTAATTCATCCAACGGATTCCTCGGTACAGCAATAGGCATGCTGCTCAAAGCTTGATTTACTGCTGTTCCACGTGCGCATATGACCTGAAATGAAGTGCGTGTCAATAACGAGCATATTTACAAATGTTACTAACGTTAACCCGCGCCCCACTGGGGTCTGTGTATAACACGCCCTACTGGGGGGGGGGGGGGCTATTCATAGCCCCCCTCCTAACTCCGAAACTACTGGGCCGATCGTCAAAATTCAAACGGCGTCTGATAGCCCCGGAAAAACTGTCGAGCGAAACCTAATTTCATTGACCTCGAGGTCACCGATGACGTCACAGGTCAGGTCAAAGTAAAAATTATTAGCACTTTGGCTTGTTCACATTTTGGGCTCTGGCCGCCGTCTTACAAGTCAGATCAGGCTCATTTTTGGTTTCCACACTCGTGAACAGATGCTCTAGATACCTTGAGGGTACCAAACTTGTACTTTGATTTTCAGGTCAGGGTCAGGTCATCACAGGTCACGAAAATATTATATCATGCGTCGGTCACGTGACACATGTTTTATGGCCCATTTAGGCCATAGATTTCGAATTTGATGTCGTATGTGTCATTCGAGGTCATTTTGAGTCGAGTTTAGCTTAGGTCAGGTCACTTTCAGGTCAAAAAAGGTCAAATTTTGA